AGTCACAAAGATGACTTACCCTGTCGTAGTCATAGTAACAATAGCATACCACATACTGTCCGGGATGCTGGAGAAAGTTGTGCCCTTGACTTCTTTCTCAGCATAATACACAGCGGTGGCAAAAATAATAACACCCAGTCCAAACGAAAATAGAATAAATCCTAGCTCGGAGGAAGAGTTCTTTATTGATGAACCCAGAGCTTGAAGTCTCGTGGAATGTCGAGACATTTTAAAAACACGAAATACACGGAAGACGCGTAGAATCGTTAACGCGTCAAAATCACCGGCGCTTTTTAACCCAATGTCGAGGTAGAATGGAATAACCGCTGCAAGATCAACGATACTTTGAAATTCTTTTACAAATTTGCACCTGTGAGGTGCAGCGAACAAACGAATTAAATACTCCAGCGTTAAGACCACAACACAAGTGCCGTCCACGTATTGAAAAGCCTGCTTATATTCTTCGCCGCATGTTCTTCCACCGCAGGGTATCGTCTCAGTTATGGTTGTAACGATGCTTACAACAATGGCGATTCCGATTATGTAGTACACAACTTTAGCTGTCGTTGATGATTGCGGGTTTTCAAATAACAACCAGAGACGCTGTCTAAATGTTCTACGCTGAGGAACACACTCATGATGAATCACTTCACCTTCTGGGTGTACATCTCTTCGACACACAGCAGAATTCGCGTCGTGGTATTCCTCCAGACAACATAAACCCAAAGCGTCAGTTGGAATGCGAAAAAACTCAAGCTCGTCTTCGTAAAACTCGCCGCATTCTTCCAAAGAAAAATGAAGTTTACCATAACGATAATAGTTCAAAATGTGACGAAAAAAGCCAGGATCCCGCTCAAAGAAGTATTCTTTTCGTTGGGAATCATAAAACGATTCTCGGTCACTGCTTCCTAATAAAGTTGTGGGGTATTTCTTTAGAGTATAGTCCCAAGTTTCAAACTTCCTCCCGCTCACATTGAGGACGATTCTCTTGTCCTTTAATTGCTTTCGATGAAGAACACTAAAAGGTTTTTTCTTGAACACCGGCGAAATCCCAACAAGACCAACCTCTCCGAGGGGGAGCCAATTTTCCAAGTCATTCACGGGTTTGTCCTTGGAAGACATCGCGATAAGAGTTATCAGCAGATTTGATCAATTAGGATTGCGCGACTACTTAGCTGTGTATGTAAAATCGGCGTCTTCTAACTAAGAAACCGGTAGCACGCAGAGTTATCAAACAGAGACTCATTAACGTGTACTAAATTGTTAATATGTACATAAACAGTCGCGTGAATAATGGCGCCTAACAATGACATGGTGGTCTAAGAAGCCAAATAAATCTTAACTTTGACAACAGCGTAACGCATTTGAATGCTAGTAGAAGGTTCGCGACGAGGAAGGAAGAAAATAAAGGTCTACGGGGTACTTAATCAAAGAGAAGGACCGCTTTTCGAATCTGTCTTGTTTGATTGTTTATGTATTTATAAGATGAATACGGGTACCTGCACCGTTCGTACCAAAAAATGCTAACCACATTTAAAGAAATGGTGACAAACTTGTAAAAAAAAAACTTAAACAATACAAAATTGGAACACAACATCCTTCACAAACAATATTGAATCTTAATATAATTTATGCGAGTTTCCATTGTCTAAATAACTACATTTCCTTCACTTCAGTTCGATGATTTCATCAGTCATAACGTTCTTTTCGGTGTCCAAAAAATTAAAAAAGGAAAAATTCTTTCGCTTAAATTGGATGGGTAATTGATCCTGAGTTTGTTCTGATCTGTGGTAACGTACAGCTTCACGCAATATAAAATGAAGAGAAAGCACGTTATATGAATTGATCTCTATGTTTACAAACACCCCTGTGGATAAGCTTGGACGTTATAAATGACGAATTCCGCGAAAGAAAAGCAAGCATCGCACCTGCTTAAGGAAGTTGATCTAATATGCAATTGTGCCAAGAACAGACCATATTACTTATGGCTTCCGTTGTTGTGAAAGTTTCTGCATACATAAAATAAAAACAAAGCGAAATAACACAAATAAAAGTGATACGGAAAAAAGCGTAGTGTCAGGCCCTCTTTTAAAACTCTGCAGAAGAACTATTGAGCAATAGAGCGCACTTTCTATCAGTTTAGAGGCGTAATAAACCGAGTATTCTACCAACATCACAAGTGGATTATTTATTATGCTCTAAAACAGATTGAAAGTGTGGTCTATTGCTTTTATAAAATAAACTTAAAATGTTTCAATGTTGTACGAGTTTACTGCTGCAATGAACCTCAATCAGGGCCCTCAAAGTATCTCGGGTATTTTATAAACTACTGTTCTCGAGCTCAAAGGGTGACATGCGCCCTTTTATCAGCTCGGGACGACCCGCTTTGATCTCAAGAAATGAATAAAAGTGGTAGAAACTGGTTGATAATCTCCAATGTGATGCAAGGAAGATAGTTTTCTTGTGGTTTGGTTTTGTTGTCTCTAAAAATAGAATTCTAAAATAACAAGGCATCTTTCCTTTCACGCTTAGTCAAAAATTCGAAATAATGCAATAAACTACGAATATCAAAAACATAGATAACACGAACCGATAAAATTTATGCTTCATATTGACAAAATCAATGACACAAACTATTCTTCGACAATCCAGTAACTAGTTCTACAGCTGCGAAGCGGACGGTGTATTTTTTTGTTTCCATAAGCCAAACTGAATGAGCTTATAATAATAATAATAATAATAATAATAATAATAATAATAATAATTTAATATTTATATGGCGCAAATCACGTCAATATTGAGCAGTAAAATACATAACTTGTAGGTTTCCCTAGGACAAGCCGGACTGCATCAGCAATTTACAAACATTCGAAAGAAACTTTATTTGAAGATGCCCCCTCCCACCAATTCCCAGTTAACAGGCCAGACCACATCACAGTAATCTCGTGAGTGGGTTCTTTAACGTCCCCTGCCTAACCAAATTAACCAATTAATAGATGCAGGAGCTTAGCGCGGATCTATTATAAAGGAAAGGATGCCTTTTGCGAAATGAAAGCGTTGATCTTTTTTTCATCGCAATCGAGCTGGCGAAGTAGCCCTTCCCCTTTCCTTTTGACCAAAGGGAGAAGTGTGAGCTACTGAGGAACAGTCTCAATTCTCCCCTTTGGTCACCATGCGATGTTAATGATAGATGCACTGTCCCACATGTACAAAAAAAAAAATGCACATAATTTTATTGCATCACATTCAAAACGAAATGGTGTTTGATTGCACGCAGAGTTGTCCACGTTTACATTATCCAACATAGGAAAAGCTTAGATTTATACCATTTGGGCGACGCTTTTATCGGCAAAAATCATCAGTGGCATGATTTTTTTCGATAGAGAACTATTAAGTGATTCAACTTCTTCGTCTCACACAAATACACGATAAAGAATTATGGTTAGTTTTCTAAATATGCTTCAATCTTTTCTTCTCGTGTTTTCGGTCTCCTTTTGAAAGGATTTTTAAATTTTCGTTTCTTTTTGACGGCTCCTTGAGCTTGCTCTTCTTCACGTCTTTGATCCTCCATTTTTTGTTTTACGTCCCTGAAGAAAATACAGATAGAAAAGAAGATAGCTCATTGAAATTATACACCCTATTTAGGACCCTAATTTGCGCCAATAGAGATATGTTGATTGTTGCAATGCGACTCGTGCCGCTACATCGAGAAACTTGTAAGGAATATGCTTTGTGCACTC